AATCAAAGTGTTGGGGAAGCACTTTTTAATTTTTTTTTTTTTTTTTTTTACAATTTCAAGCTTGCCAGGGCTGAGACTTTGCTCCATCCCTCCCCGGTCCTGGGGCGGTGGCACTGAGCCAGAAGAAAACCCCAAGCAGCGAGCGCCCTGACAGCCCCAGCACCGTCCTGCCCACAGGGTAGAACTGCTCGCAGGATGAAGCAGCCTCTTACAGGCTGCAGAAGCCAGCCGATGAGCCCCTAATTCCTACCCCAGAGCATGAATTGGGGTTGTCTGAGCGTCCGGACCCAGCTGGCGGGCTATGGAGGGGCACTCCCTGGGTGTTTTACCATCCCCAGACCAAACTTGCTCCAGCACGACCCAACCCGGCGGGATGCTGCAGGAAGACACGGCTTTTGCTGCAAGGGAGCTGCTCCGTGGGGGCAAGGCTGTCACATGTGGAGGAAAACCTCATCCATCTCACGCTGCCCAGTGCTTAAGCAGGCAGAAGAACCCAAGGGAGGGAAGAGTGTCGTAACCTGACGAGCTAATTAGGCTGAAACATGTCTGTTGACACAGGCGAGATGAACGCGTGTTCCTGGGCTGCAGGAACCACAGCCACTGACCTTTCCCGGCCTTCCTGGGGACAGAGCTGGAGGCTGCTGTGGTCTCAGGTCTCGCCACACAGAAGCGATGGTGGGAGCAGTGGGCTGTGGGCAGGGAAAGCCAGGAGCAGCCGGAAGCCTCAGAGCTATGGCTGGACCTTGCAGAGTCCCGGGGCAGTGCCGGTGCCAGGGGCAGCAGGGAGAGACGGTCCCGTGCTGCTCTGGCACTGGTAAGCAGCTCCTCTCCGAGATGCTACAGGGGCTGAGCCCACGGCTGTAGGTGGGAGATGAGCGATGTCCTGAGCATTTCCAGCAGGCTTTGCTGGAGCACAAAGCATAGCTACGAGCACAGAGGAGCACCAAGGGGTTACGCCAAAGCCTGGGGTTGCTAGGAAGTGCCGCAGGACCTAATCCTGTTTGTCAGTCCTTCCCTTTCCCTGTGCCAAAGCAATACAGCTTGCCCAGGAGCACAGGGCAGAGAGGAGAGATGGACCCTGCTGCTGGGGGTCCTACCGTACTCGCTGTCCCCATGTCCCCCCCAGGCCCACACCCGTGCCCCGTGAACTATCCTGCCTGACTGGGCTCTGCCAGGCAGAACTGGGCAGCAGCCGCCCCAGTCCGAGAGCATTACAGACACGATACGGGATTTAACATCCACTGGGGAGCTGACCCCGTCTGCCTGCAGAGCTGGGAAGAACCGGGCACAAAACATTTCAGAAGGGGAAGGAGAGGGAAGAAACAAGAATAAATTCCCAGTGGATGCTTTTCTATTGCCAACTCCAGAATGGCTGCCACAGCTCAGCACTGCCGAGCACTTCTTCGTTTGCTCCCGCACCTCCGGGGCACCCTGCCACGCAGTGGGGCTGGGGGGGGGGGTCTTCCTCCCACGGAGCACACTGGAGCCGTCTGGAGTGACACTGGGAAGCCCTTGGAGCAAGGGGATCATTGGCCCAGCGTGGCTGCTGGAGCATCTCACGCAGGACGGGCGCTCGCTGCTCCCCTCCTTTCCAGCACCGAAAGAGGAGCCCACGTGCAGGTGACAGCAGCCACTCCGCATCCCCACGGCAAGCCGGGCAGCGTGCCGAGCTGGCTTTGCCTCCAAGGATCCTTTGGAGATACGACAGCGGGTGAAGGCGGGGTGTGAAACCACCCCTCTCCCCAGTGCAGCGTTTTGCACTTCCAATGGTGGTGGCTCCAGTGGGGGGAGAAGCTGCATGGAGACAGGGATCCTGCTGCCGGTCGCGGCTTGCCGAGGGCTGGAGCGAGCACACACGCTGGGTAGCTGCTCCCCTTCCTGCCACCTTGGGCTCTGCTGCCTGCTGCCAGCGTCCGCGGCTCCATCTGCTGCAAGGTTGCTGAGCGCGGTGTCCCTGTCCCGCTACTGCCTTTGCTCTGTCCGCCTCTGCCTCTTCCCAGTCCTCCAGCTTTGTTCAGTTCGTCTTTGTTCAACGCTGCCCCTGGAAGCACCTCTGACAGCGGGCGTTTGCTCGGACGTGTGGGCAAGAGGCGCTTTCCTCTGCCCTGGGCTTTCCTCTTGCATCTGTGTTGCTTCTTTGCTTACCTTGAACGCGCCCCAGTCCCTCAGTTCTCTTCCACCCCCCAAGGCCTGCTC